GAAAAATGCCGACAAATTGGTAAATTTTTGATAAAATAAAATTTTCTGAAAAAAAAATGACAGTCCAAAATGAAATTATACATGTGTGGTCTCTTTTTTTGCTAAAATTTATTTCAACAAATTATAATAAATTGAAATGCTATCTTTTTTTGCTATTTTGTATCGTTAAATCACTTTGAAACATTTACACTATAAATCATTTTAGTTTAAAAACTTTAATTGACTTCATTTTTAATACTTAATTTCTTTTTTTTTGCAGTGTACGGCAAATGACTTTTTAGAGTTTTTACAAAGTAAATATCAAATTAATTAATAAAATTATTGTGATATATTTTGCAACAACTAAGTAATTTGTCTCAGATGCAGTTATTAAGCTTTAAATTTTGCTCTAAACTTGTTCTTCAAGTGGAAATAAATTGGCTAAATCTAATAATACAACTAAAAAATTTTGACAATCACAAATTTCACAAATAGCAAAATTAAACGTGTAAGCAAATAAAGTTTACAGTTTAGTAAAATTTTATTTAACCATAAAAAATAAGAAATAACTTTGAAAAGCAAAAAAAATATCTTTTTTTTAAATCAAAATGAAATTGAATTAGTTTTGTTTTCAAATACCCTAATTGATTTTGAGAAGAGGAAAATCCCAGAATCTCAATTTGATTGGTAATGATCAATAATATTTACCAGAAATTTTTTGTAAATTACATTAGATTTTGATAGCTTTTAATAAAACAAAACTTATTTTGATTTGAATGATATTTGATGATGTTTTGGCTACGATTACTCTCCAAAACAATTTTCGAACATATATTAATTAATAAGAGAGGTGGATCACAACAATTTCTGCATTGAAATAATCAAATGATTTTTACTTTACCTTCATGTGTATCAAAAATCCATAAATTAGTGCAAATTATTCAAATCATAGACAACATTTTCAGAATTTTGACTTTATGACTTATCATTTTTTCAATAATTAAATGACTATTACTCTGATGAAAGTTATCTTTTGAATAAATTAAAATAGATAACTGCTCGATCTGTCACTGACTCAATTGCAATTCAAGAATAAATTTTATGCAAAATTCAAATTTCATCTAACCCACCAAAATCGCCATCCTTCGAATTTCTCGTATTGTCCTTAGAAGGAAATGAACTTAAACTGCATAATGTTATGCTCTCTGATGTCAAACTCGATGTTTCAGCTACATTCATAGTCCTATTTTTGAGTTGCCGCTCGATCTGATCTAATGCTCGTCGCTTCGTATTAAGCGCACATAATTTGCACCTAAAATTATTGTCTAAGCCTTTTATTTCAGACTGACTGGTCAGTTTTTATTGATAGAACTTTAAGACTGACTGGTCAGTTTGACATAAAAGTATTGTTAGAACAGACTGATTTAGCTATTTCACAAAATTTAACAAAGTAAATAGCATATGGGAAATTGGCATAAGACCACTACGAGTTTGACACCTTTGTTCTTTCTACGCATGAAAACATTTCTCGAATTCTTTCAACGATCAAAAAAATAAAAGTACTTTGGGCAATTTCGCATTTAAGAATGGAAATTCCCAAATGGAAGTGACAAATTGTACCAAATAAACTTAAGAAGTCTAAAATGCAAAATTTGTTATTGTCTGATCAATCACTGAATGCATCTGATAACGAACAGTTGATTGCTACACTAAGCGATCTATTTTAAGAGTTGAAGAAAATTATAGAAGGTGGAATTTGTGAGGTAGCAAAAACCGTACCAATAGTTTTTATCAGTAAAATCAAATGGTACTCGAGAGAATCATCCAAAGATTGACATTAACTTGTCACATTTTAGCGTAACTTTTTAATACCTTCGAATGCCACTTTGAATGGATAAAATTCTGTTACTTCTTTTTGATCTAGTCTTTTTTATTCGGAAGAAATACTAATTTTTAAGAAGTCAAAGTTCAAGTTGAGAAGTAAGTAAGCAAAAGCAAAAGTAACTCGCACTTGTAGTCTGAAATTACTTATCTTGTCGTTCTTTCGTTTAAAATGTCATTATAGTTATCATAATTTTTTTTCGGAACCATAACTTCCCGAAAAAACAATAACTGCTAAATTCTGTTACAATTTTTTAAGTATTACTACGTCAAAAATCATTGAAACCTCAGTAATAAAAAACGAAAATATAAGATAAAGCTTTTGATTAGAAGAGAGCTTGAATCCTAATCAATTTCCTTGATGAATTGTTGACCTCTGAAGTTATTTCACCACAAAAAGTCAATTAATAATGTCAATTTGTTAGTTGAATCTGATTTTATTCATGAATCATTTGTTATTCGTTAGAAAAATTATCTGCGCAGATTATCAAAAACAAAACGAAATATGCAAATTTGATATCACAAAAAATCTCAACAAAATACGCATATGTGCGGAAGAAAAGATATCTTTCGAATATGCAGAATGCTTGAGGAAAATTGATGAAGATTAATTAATGGTTTGAATTATTCTTTTAAATAAAACAACAACAAAAAATCATTCATAGAATAAATGCAATTAATAAGCGTTTGGTACTAACCATAAATTTTAATAAAATCTTATATTTACTACAAAAAAAATGACTAAAATTGTGATCATTTAGAGCAGTTGCAGTAAAGTAAGAAGAAAAATGACTCCTGGTCAAAGCATTCAAATCCCTGACCAACCTCATATCAATCAAAGATAGAGCCAACAAAAAAATCAAAAAAAAAAATTGAATTAAACGGCTATTTTTCAAATGGCTACTTTGAAGGCAAATTTTTATTCCTAATTTTTTTTCTGCTATTATTATTTGTATGAAAAACAAAACATTTTGCAAAAATTATTATTAATTAAAATGATAGAATTTGCAATGAATTATTATCGCTCATATTAGTTCACATTTTCATTCAACTTGTAAGCATTAAGAATGCAAGGACACTTTTTGAAAAAATTTTTGACATATTAAGCATATAGCATTTAGCAAGTCAAACTGAAATATTCTCCATTTTTACTTTCGAAATTTAAAAAAATTACAACTTTGGCTTAGTTTATATTAGCAGTCAATTTTTAATCTTCTCTACATGCTAGCAAATATTGTACTCTTGCTAGATTCTCATAACGAAGAAATCTAGTCAAAGTTTTGATATTGTTTTCAATCAAATTAAAATTTGAATGAAAAATTTTAAAACAATGAAATTTAGTCAAAGTTTTGAATTTGTTATATTACATGCTAATTTACATACATAAAATTGACTCTAATAAAATTTTGAAAAAGTTTTTTTGCAAAAAATTTTAAATTCGAAATTTTACTTTGACAAGCAAGTTTTCTTAATAATTAATATATATTTCCCATTATTTCTGCATATATCAAAATAAATGGCAATTCTGATAAAAATTTAGAGTAATGAAAATAAATTTTGTTAAAGTAATTTCAGTTTCTGGTGGAATTCAACGATAAATTTCAATTATTGAGATCATTTTTTCCCAGTTAAGGTTATTCCATTCTAATAGCATCCAAATGACCTCTAATAAAAAATTTTAGTTTGAATTTATTGTTTTATATATCTTAAAATATAATTCTGGTATTTTACGAAAAGTGTCTATGAAGAAAAAGTTGCATTGCTGACGTTACCAACATTACCAATTACTTCAAAACTATATATTTGGTTTTATCGTGACACTTGCGCTGATCAGAGTTTAATTTAATTAAAAACAATAACTGACGTCAATTAAACAATTTTGCCATTTGTCCAATTCAGCAGTTATTTTTAAGTTGAATTATTTTGCAGCAATTAAAATAATCTTTTTCTGCTAAAATTATTTACGCAATGCTATATGAAAGTGCTCATTGTTTATTTCGTTTAGCATCTAAATACATACTAACAGCGTAAGATTTAATTGAATTCGTTTTCGAATTTAATTAAATCATTTTGCAACAGCTTAAATTAGGTTACAGGTCAAATGATCACTTATTTTGAATAGATTAGCTCGACGAGCATGTTTAGAGAAGTTAGTAATGAGTAGTGATTATGCAATGAGAATTCAAATTTCAAATTGAATTTTTTTATTTTCAATTTTAAATTTGAGAATCCAAAAATGAC